AATAGTATAAATCTTTTAATTGATATTTATTAAGTAAAAAAATTAATTATTATTTCAAAGGCTTATTGTGGTTATTTTGTTGCAGGTTGTTTCAATGCGTTGCTTTTGATTGATCAATTTCCAAATTTTGATTTAATGTTTATTTATGTTTTCTATTGTTTTTTTTATTTTCATTAGTGTAACTTTATTATTATATGTCTGGGTGCAATCATACATTTATGCACACATTGGCGCACACACATATATGTATAATTAAAGAGGTTATTGTAATTAAAAAAAAAACTAAAAGTTGAAACATACTTGAACATGAAAAAAAAATATTAAAAGTAGTAAACAAAAAACTACATGATACAACAAAAAGAAACAAAAAATAACACATAAGGCGCAACAAAAAGCTACACAATGAAACAAAAAGCAACAAAAAATAAAAAAAATAAAAGTAACATATTATAGTATCTAATGAACAAATATGTTAAATAATTTTTTTTTACAAAAATACTCCTTTGTTACTAAAATGTTTTTAGTAATAAATTGTGTAAAAATAAAAAATAAAACAACTTCAGAAAAAATTAAAAACCTTAAAAAGGGTGAAAAGTGATTTAGAAAATTACTTTTAATAACATTTCTTAGATAAAGTAGGAAAAATATTCTTAAAAAAAAGTAGGAAATTAAAACATAAAACGAAAGTAAAACGTATTATGGTTATTTTGTTGCAGGTTGTTTCAATGTGTTGCTTTTGTTGATAAATTTCCAATTTTTTATTTAATGATTATCTATGTTTTTTATTTTCCTAAGTGTAGCTTTATTATTATATGCGTGGGTGCATACATACATTTATGTACGCAGTGGCACACACACATATATGTATAAAGAGTTACTGTAAACAAAAAAAATAAAACTAAATGGTCAAACATACATAAACATGAACAAACAAAAACTAAATTAAATATTAAAAGTAATAAACAAAAAGCTACACGATACAACAAAAAGAATAAAAAAGCAACACATAAGGCGCAACAAATAGTTACACGATGAAACAAAAAGCAACAAAAAATAAAAAATAAAAGTAACATATTATAGTATTCAATGAATAAATTTTGAAACTTATTCTCCACATTAATAACCAGAATTTTAATTATAATATAAGAATATTAAAAAGGATATAAATAAACTTGTTTTTGGTACATTTACATGTGAACTGAAAAAGGGAGCAAGTAATAGGAATTAGCACGAACAAAACTGAAGTCATTCCCTTTGTCTCAATTTCAGGAAAATATATTATAAAAGAGATATCTGGGACCATTGATATTTCATAGATTGGAGTAAGTTACATCCCTTCATCCCTTGTGCATGAAGTCTCTGACAAACAAATATCCAGCTGCAAATTATATCTGGTTACAAGTTAAAACACAAGCCTTCCCAGTTTGTCCATTTCAAACATGTACAATCTTATCACAAGAAGCTAAGTTAAAACACAAGCCTTCCCAGTTTGTCCATTTCAAACATGTACAATCTTATCACAAGAAGCTACTCTATTGGAGGACGTTGATATACTAATATCATTCACAATCTGGAAGAAAATGAAAAATAAATGTAATTAAGTCTATAATGTGTATTATCCCCATTACAAGTTAGTTGCGTAGAATGTTAACAGCATAGGTGAGGTTCAAAGCAAACACTTATTAATTAAAATAGCCTATAACCAGTAACACAAATGAAGAGCACATGTTCATGGATATAGAAGCTAGAGACAGGATCCAACCTCGAAAACTTCCATGTACTACGTATGAACTAATCCTATGAAACTTGCAAAATCACCGGCCTGCTGTGAAAATACTGCACTCATATTGGCAAACTACTATAGAACTTAGCACGTCATGATGTGTTTGAACAGAATAGAGAATTGATGCTCTCATTTTCCATGGAATTTCATCTGTTGGGCTTCCATTTGATCTGGTTACAAATTAAGGTGAGAAATTGAGTGGATGCAAAACATTCATAGTATTAGACAAGAAAAAATCACAAAATTATCAGTGAATAAAATAGAAGTAAAAGCAATCTATAGAAATATTCAGATAAATGATCACCTCTATGAAACACCAATAACGATAGCTTCATAGTCTCTTCAGTTTGATACATTAGTTCGTTTTTCCTCTTGTCATTGTGTGAATAAACTCTTCTCCTCTCTCACTACTGCAGTTGAATAGACTTTTCCTCTAAAAATTTAAAAAAAAAACAAATATTGCGAGCCTGGATGAGCCAATTTGAGATTTAAAAAAAAATCGTGGAATCATAAATGACATGTATTGAAAATGCTTCTCAAAGCTTTATAATTCGGAAAGTAGAACCTTATTTTGAATTTAACCAACTAGTCGAGGAAAAAATCCATTACGATGGTCAATTAGGGTTGTGGGGAAGATGTTACACCGGTTGAGAGCGTTACAATTCAGAATGAATTCGATCATCGTCGTTTTCTAACCTTTTGCAATCTGGAAGAAGGCGGCGATGATTTTGAGAGAGATGACTCACAACTTGGAAGAAGGGGATGAAGATGAGTGACAGACCTGGTGGACGATGGCGATCAAAGCATAAATCGGCTGATAGAGATGGGATGCACGACCGCAGGGTGCCGACGGCGGGATGCGTGCTAGCAGGGAGAGCAACGGCGGTGACTCCTTGTCTGCCATTGAAATAGCATTCGTCTGCCGTAGAGTGAAGACTGTAAACGCAGGGCCAAAGCAGAGATTGAGACTGAGGACGATTTCTGAGAGAGAGAGACGGAGAGTGGGGATGAGCCGGTGGTTTAAGCTATATTTGAAATAATAAAAAGATTAAATGAAAAGGGAAAAGTTGGGAAGTGAAAGAAAAAATGTACTAGGACATAAATGAAATACTATACACAGAAGTGGTTCTAACGGGTAATTACCACTTAAAAAAAAGGTTCGGATCAAAGTGTTAAGGCCCAACCTTTAATGCTAGAACATGCACATTGCCCAAGATATTTAATCCGTAGTACCTTTTAAGATACTGTTGTACACAAGCTTTTACACAAGCTTTTACTTCATTTGATTCTATGTTGTACCGCAGAAACATTCTCTCTAGACTAGCAATCCTTTTCTTCTAATGAACACCATTTTCGATCGTTCTTTCTCTTGTTTTTGAGATGTTTCATGTGCTTTAATCTGTTAGTACTTCAGTGTCAATACATCATCCATCCATTACCGAGACTGGGTAAACCAACATAAGGCCTACTGGAGTCGCAAATATGAGCATATGAAGTACGGAAAGGAGTAAGGATATTACCTGAAATAGGACTAACAATGTTTGAAAATTCCAAAATAGAACTGCCATGTTTTTATTCCTAAAGTAGGACTAATTACTGCCATGTTTGGCAGTACCAGACTTCAAACATGACAGTATTTTCCAAACTTGACAGTAATTACTCCTATTTTGGGAATAAAAACATTGTAATCCTATTTTGGAATTTTCAATCTTTTTTACTCCTATTTCGGGAATTTTCCCAAAGGAGTATGCAGGTAACAGCGGCTATACTTGTGGATATTAAGGATGTTTTCTTTTGGACTGAAATTTGCTGGTCTGGTCTGGTCTGGTCTGATCTGTTTAAGTCTGGTCTGGCCTGGTCTGGTCTGATAAACATCTTGTGTCTGTGTATTTTATAACTACGGAAGTCTGGTCTGGTCTGGTCTGTTTAAGTCTGGTATGGTCTGGTCTGGTCTATTTAAGTCTGGTCTAGGACTGAAAACAGTCTAAAAGAAAACATCCTAAGGCCTCACTCAGTCATTTTATCAACAAACGTAAGATCTCTATCACTCCTAAAACCACGGCTCTAGCAATAAAAGCTAGGGTTTTGGTCTAACAAGTGTGTCAGTTTGATCAAACATCCCCGTGTTTGCAGTTCCTAGGTGTGGGAAAAACCGAACCGAAACCCGGAAACCGACCCTGGACCGACTCGAATTATGATCCCGGTCCGGGTTTTTTCTTTTTAACCGGCCCGAATTAAAAAAAACCCGGACCGAACCGAAAATTCCGGGCTCATTAACGGGCCTTAAAATCTATAACCCGACCCGGACCGAAAAAACTCGAAACAATTAGTTTTAATATAAAATTAATATAGTATATGAATATAAATAAAATATTTCCTAATATATGATTATAATCACGGTGGATAAAATAAGATTTAGTAACTTTTAGTGACTACAAATGTGTTGAATTTGTTTAGCGTAATGATGACCATGAGAATATATTTATAGCAACTCTAGTAACTTTTTGATTTATAAATTTATTTCGTAATATTTTTAAGAAACCTATATTATTTATATATATACACCTTACATAAAATATTAAGATAATTATCTTCTTTAAATTTGAATTGTTGGTGATTTTGTAGACTAATATTTGTGTTATTGTTTGCGGTTTGTATTTTTGATTAATTTTATTTGAAAATAAGTGTTAAAATACAAAAGAACAATGACATATTTCACGGCCGGGCTTTAACCGGTCCAACCCGAACCCGGGCTACTAAAAACCCGACTCGGACCGAATATAATGAGCTTTGTTCCGGTCCCTAATTTTCATAACCCGAGACCTTCCGGGTAATTTCTGGGTTTAACAAAAACTCGACCCAAACCGGACCGATCCCACCCCTAGCAGTTCCAATGGCGTTTTACATCAACGGTGGCATCGATCACCGTAATACAGCCAATGCAACGCAGTACATATGCATTTAAAATAACGAGCCTCCAGGCTCCATCTCGAGACTAATTGGACTAATAACCTACAATTGCAACATAATATATATTCAATTTTACAATGTTTATTGGGACTACAACAATGAATTGTACGATCCATGTAAACTCATAACTTTAACTCATAATATTTTGATCTATTTGGCGTACAATGTGACATAATATTCATCACCCCAATACTTTATTCATTGTGTGGGCAAATAAACAAAGTGAAAAATATAAAAAGTCGAATGCTTTGGAGTATTAAAATTGTTTATTTAAACCTTTTCTACCAAAACAGTCAGGGGGACTCAGGGCATAAATATTAGCAATCTCAATTGCGATTCTTTTCAAGAAGAAATTTAAACAATAATAATCAATACATGGAAATTGAAACAATAATAATCAATACATAGGAAGAAAAAGTGGACAGAAACAAACAGATATAGGTGACATCAACAGATTCACAAGGATGAAAAAGTACTAGCATATACAAAGGAGGCGATTCACTCTGGTGTGGAAGGCAATCAAATTAAAGATATTAAGCAAAATTCAACCCGAATAAATAGATTCGTATAGGGCACTTCATGCCACTAGTTTCCTCAAGACAGCTTCAGCCCGCTGCTCAAACTTAGGCAATGCCCATTCATGTTGGATGATATCTAAACTGTCTTTTTCAGCACCTAAATTCTGATAACAGAAAGGAAAATAAAGAGTAATGATAATATGAGATCTTCCGAAGGATAGAAGCTAAGGTCGAAAGTGAGAAATCTAAATTCTGAAAACAAAAACCAGAGTTTTTAGGACTACCAATTTCCAACATAACATACTAATTCCTGTGTTCGGGCTTCTTATTTTTATTAAGAACAACACCAACAACAACATTACACCAGTGCTGCAAAGGTTCCCACCTAGGCACCTACGGTGGGGTAGGGGGGGTCGGATGTACACAGGCTTCTTATTTTTATATACAATTAAAAGAATTCCAGAGTATGGAGCCAAAATGAGAAAACCAACCTTTGAGGGATCAAACCCAAATCCACTCATTTGCATCATGCGTTGGGTATCATCCATAGCTGAAACAAGTAATCATTTTGATAACATCAACACTAACTAATTAAGAAAAAAGAAATGTGTGCTTTAATCCCTTTTCTTTTTAGCTTTTCAGTGTTATCAGCCAAATCTTACCAACCACTACTTTCTTTTATGGGCGTGCTCAAGGGCATAAAATGATTAAATAATTAAAACAAGGCCGAGGCTACTTATCTGTCTCAATCTGCCAAAGAGGACAATTTTAGCTTCTTTTCATATATCTTATTATTTACTTAATCAATAGAAAGGATACATTTTATGTATATATATGTTATGTATAAATCACCTAATAAAGTTTGGTAAACGTTTAAAATTAAGTATATAGATACACTTTGGATCAAATAAAAAGTCTCATTCCCATGAAAAATAAAAAATAAATCTAGCGAATCAAATCTAATATATAATATTATAATGGCTCTAAATATGTCAAAACTGCACCAAAGTGGATAAAAAATGTGGTGGCATTCTTGTAAATAAATCAATTTTTTCTTCTTTGCAAAAAGTGAACTTTTAGTGTGCAATAGTGTACCGTAAATGACCAAAAGTGGATGACAAAAATCATTTGAATGCAACAGTGCACTTGAGATGATTAAAAGTGGAGTCGTTCGCACTTTTTAGGAAAAAACAACTTTGCATTGAAACCGGACCCTATATATATACTACCCCCGGTTTTTTTTAATCTTCACAGTTTGACTTCACACAAAATAAGGAAAGAAATTTGACTTTACTATCGAGTACACTGTTGAGGCACTGTTTGACACTGTTTGGCACTGTAGAGACACTGTTTGGCACTGTTGAGACACTGTTTGGCACTGTTTGTCACTGTTTTGATGTAGATTTCTTTGCCAAAAAAGGAAATAAGGAAGTGTGAAGTTTATTTTAGACCGTCCCAAAAAGGAAAGTGTGAAGTTTATTAAAAACCGGAGGGAGTATCATATTTCAATATTTTCAACAGATTCATTCGCAACTTCAACAGATTCATTCACAAACCACAATATCTGCATGCAGGCTCAAAATGTCCTCTAATGCCACAATTTAAAAAAAAACTCCCTTGCATGACATAATTTCATGATAAGTGACAATAACCAAGATGAGACGATTAAACTGCTTAACAAACTAACCATTTTCCTCTCCAAGAATGAGACTAAACAAACCCCTTAGACCAAATAGATTGAGGAAGTACCTGAAAGTGATTGAGAATAATCAGAAACGTTGAGCAAGAAAAGCACAAATGAAACATGAGAACTGAAAATGAAATTTAAAAAAAGCAGTACCATGAGCGACTACTGACATAACTCACGTCAACTGTACTCAAATCAATTCCGTTTTGTAACATTGACCTGAACCTCTGGGTTAACGGAAAAGGAATCTTTGCTGGAAAACAATACATACACAGTATACACTATTAGCCTATTAGGTAACAGTGGAACATAAATTATTAAATAAACTAAATTTGTAAGTCTATAATGAAGGATCAAATGGCCATAAACAAAAACTATGTAAGAGACAATTTGCAAACCTGCTACAAAGCCAGAGAAGAAGAAATTAACCCACGCATAAGTAAGAGTCTGCTCAAGCAAACTTGAAAATGTTAGATTGTGCAAGGAAAAATGCAATGAAGCAAGAGCAATAAAAAATGAAAATGCATTTAAAAAAACCTGTGGGATGATCATTGATAGATTTTTCTTCATCATATCCATAGCCATGTTAGGATCAGAAAACATTTGCGCCTGGGCATTCTGAGCTTGGTCTTTAGGAACAACAAGTAGCCCATTTTCCTGCATTCATTTTTGTCTTTTCAGCAACATAAGTCATCCTAAATGTAGGGTCTGTTTGGATGGCGGTCTTGGAGGTGCTAGACTATATATCTTCACATTTCTTTCCAACTTTATGAAAAATGAAAGACAAAGATAATATGAGATTGTTTAACATTTCCATCGCCTTGTATTGATTTTCATGAGCATCCTATTATCATCATATAGAATATGACCTCCAAAGCGTGGGTGTAGATCGTAGGTTGGGTTAACAGGGGGGGGAGCAACCCAGTCCCATGTCCACCCGAATTTTCTTTTTTAGTGAAAATCTTTTACTATAAAAATTATCTGACCGACTTAATTTCCATCCCACCAAAACTCAAAATTTTCAGGCAATTACTAAGACACTGCTCCTCATCCTTCCCTTCAAACCCCCTCTATTCAAACAGTCCCTGAGCTTCTTCAAGTACATATGTCCTTTCCTAAAACCCACAAAAAGCTTTATTCCAACATTGCCTTTGATTTTCCTTCATTTCTTTTGCAATTATGATCCTCCAAAAATTGGAAACCTACTTTGTTATACACAGTTCGGTTTTCAAGTAGGAATTGGCAATTATCTCTCAAGTGAATCACATGCTCCTTTTTAATTCAGTTCAAACATTGAAAAATATGAAACTGCCTTCTAGGGAAAAACCCAACTACTATACTATGAAACATTGACAAATAATACTCAGAGAGTGAGAAGATAAAAATGAAAGGATCAGTTGAGCTAAAATTTCTTTGGCCGAACGAAAAGAAAAAGTGGAGGAGCGGAAAATAACATAACAAAACAATGAATTAAGTGGAAGAGCAATGACCTCGTTACTATAATATAATCGTCGAGCTCGAAACGACTTTGCAGGAATGAAATTAGCACCTGCTCTCAGGTTCCTAGCCCTGATTATCAACTGCCTAAAATTACAGTCAAAGATTAACAAATCGCCATATAAATGTAATGAGCTGGGCATATAACACAGAGAAAAAGAGTGGCAGACCCTTCTTTGACGATTTTGGCATCGGGCAACTGAGAAGATGAGCGCATGAGCTTCGAGACGAAGTATCGCAGGACTCCGATAAGTACCATAACCACTGATAACGGAATCAGTACCCAATCTCTTATCGCCGTGTCCAACACAAGATCTTCCGCCATCTCTGACTCTGCACAGTTTTTTTCTCCCTCACTTCTGTCGCTGGTAAAAATAAGAAAATGCTAGGAAAACGCAGTCGTTTATTGTAGTTATTTCTATTCGATTTCCTTAAGGAAGAGGCAGTCCGCACTCCGCACTCCGCACTCCGCACTCCGCAGTAGGCAGACTCCCTTTGGGCTTGGAGGATGTGTGTGTATAAGCAGGCTTTGTTAGAGCTATCTAACTATCTTTAATTCATTTTGTTTAAGTTTTAGGGTATGTTTGACACAACTAGTTGAAAAGATACTTTTATGAGCCTTTTAATAAATGTTAACTTTTAGTGAATGAAAAGAGCTTAAAAAGAAAAGATGACAGCTGTTTGGTAAAAAACAGACTGTTTGATTTAGTTCAGTTTGTTATACAAGCTGTCAGGGCTAATTAATACTAAAAGTCATGAACATTTTTCATATGCTACTCCATGTAACAACTCAAAAAAGATCTTTTAATTTTTGAAAAGCTCTTAAAATTTGTCTTTCCAAACATAAAACCAGAAGCTTTTAGAGACTTTTTAAATAGTATAAAGCTAGAAGGCAGAGACTTATGCCCGCCAAACATAGCCTTAAGCTAGATTAGATTTAAAGAGACAGATCATACTAATTATAGAATAGAAATTACTCTCCATAAGAATAAAAATAACCATTCTAAAAAAAGAATAAATAAAAATAACCTAAAACGTATAAATAGGATTACTACATTTTAAACCTCCTAAAATAGGAGTAAATATTGATTTCTACCCTAAATACCTCTAAGGGCATTATTTCATAATGAAATGTTTCAATTCATAATAAAATCTTAAAAAATCTTTTTTTTTAAAATATCGTAAAAAAGTAATATTTTTTTAAAATATTTCCTAATGTTTAAAAATTGAAACTATAGGGGGTGTATTGTATTAGGATTTAGTGGAAAATTTTAAAAGTCCATGGATTTTAAAAGTTTAGGTGTATTCGATGTGGACTTTTCAAAGTCTACAAAAGTTTAGGTGTATTCAATGTAGACTTTTAAAAGCCTCTAAAAATCTAGGCGTATTCAAATTTTCGTTCATTCCTATTGACTTCTAAAATCACAGATTCTCGTGGACTTTTAACTCATTCTTATTGCATTCTCCTCCTCCTCCTCCTCAACCTAGCTTGCCCCACCCCTCTCCTTCCGTTCTTCGATCTTCTTCTTCAACTTGCCCCACGCCCACCCACCTTCATTCGTTAATCTTATATCGATTCTAGTTCCTCCTCCTCCTCCTCCTTCTCCTTCTCAACCTAGCTTGCCCCACCCCTCTCCTTCCGTTCTTCGATCTTCTTCTTCAACTTGCCCCACCCCCACCCACCTTCATTCGTTAATCTTATATCGATTCGGTTCTAGAACATTTAGAAGAACCTGTAGGGTATACGAATTGATAGTATATATTACATCAGTGAAATTCTGGTACGTTGTCAGTTAACCATTAAGAAATAAATATTTTAACTATTACTCCCTCCGTTCTCTATTAGATGTCCCCATAGGGTTTGGCACAAGTTTTAAGAAAAAAATAATAGGGGTAGTGGAAAAGGTGTGGTGTGTTGTGTGTAAAGGAAAAAGTAGGAAAGAGAATGAAAAAGTAGGAAAGAGAATGAGGGTAAATGAGTATATTTATTGAAAAAACTTACCAAAAATGGAAAGGGAGACAATTAATAGAGAACATCCCAAAAAGGAAAGAGGGCCAAGTATTAGAGAACGGAGGGAGTATTTTCTTTCATTGTTAAATCGCTAACACATAAAAAAATATAATTTCAAAGTAATAAATATTTACTGTAAATATGTATACAAAATTTACAAGATAAAAATGAAAAGAAAATAATTATTAAGAAGAAAAACTCGATTGCACCTATGCTTGTACCACATGTAGCAATGAGTGTAACGTTTGTGTAATGATTAATGTTCTTACTCATTAATAAAGCGACCAAAATTCTTGAGCATTTTTGAAACTTTAAGTTTTCTTTTTAATAAAAACAAATATGGATTCTTATGCTGCATATATTCTTGTTGAACCATGTGTTGTTATATGAATTACATTTGTTTTATTTATTTATTTAATTAATTGTTTCTTATCATATTCCGTATTATAAAGAGAAAATTACTCACGGTAGGACTAAAACATAACATTTTTCTTAAAGTATGATCATATGTTTGATTTTCTTTAAATAGGACTAAATATTACATATTCACTCCTAATTTAATTAATTAATTACTTAATATAATTAATTGTCTCTGATCTGGTTCCCTTTCATAACCAAATTCATTTTGTTGGTGGAGAATCAGTTCGATGACGACGGCGATGAACTCTGGTGATAGAGGCGGACAAGCAGATCGATAGCGGCGATCTAGATGAAAATTCTGACGGTTAGCAGTGGCAGCCCGCATTTTAAAGTCTATGGGCTTTTGAAAGTCAATAAATTTATCCATTAATTTAAAGTCAATATAATTCATTCATAAAAAAAATCTATGAATTTAAAAGTTAATTGACTTTTTTTAAAAGTCTATAAATTAAAAAAAGTCCACCCCAGTCCATATTGAATACACCCCCTTAATGTCCAATATAAGATTTTCATCAAACCAAAGTTTCCAATTTGAGACTTATCCCCATTACCCAAAAGGAGGGACCGATGGATTAATAAGAATTCAATTTAGAAAAGACTTGCTTGCATCTGTTTTTTTTTTTAATTTAAAAGTGTAGATGACATGCTACACTGCTACAGTACAGAAAATAAACAAGAATGTTGTATGAAATAATATATACTTTATTTCCCTGGCCCTGGGTGATGAATATTTTGAAGATACATATGCAAATATAGGCCAATAGCCTGTATTATGCAGCTTCAAATGAATGAAGTGACATAAAATGCATTAATTTGTAATATTGTTTTTTAATTTGGTTCAATCCTTTGAATTATAAAAAGAGATTTTTCCTTAATATTATTGAAATATAAATTATGAACAAAAATTTATAATTATAGTTACTATGCATAGTAACTATAAGGTAGAATTGAACACATTTATAATTACTAAAGTTGTTATGATAGTCACTAAGTTATACTTCTGTCCCTTACTATGTTACTATTTCAGTTATATATTTATTATTATTTCTTTATAAAATCATTTCAGATTTTTTAAATATAAATTTAGGGAACAATTTGAAAACGGCTAGAAGCGTCATCTGCATGAAGTTAGCAACTTCATAATAACTAGTATAGTACCCGTGCGATGCACGGGATATTAGTCCATAATTTGTGAAGACCTGAAGTATAAAATTCTTTTATTTTTAGTTTCTCAGCTCCTTATAATCAGGTGTATATCATTTTTAATAGTTTATGAGTTTGATATGACAAACTAAAACGTTTTTTTTTACTGTAACTAAAACGTTAAGAAATACTACGTACGTAGTATAATCTATTTATTTTACTAAATAAATCATTTATGTTGCCACCCATCCGAAGTGTCGAGCTTTGATATCCATTCGTACGCATTCCATAAATATCTAAGTGAAACATGAGGTGCAGTGCTATTTTCTTAAACGATATCGAACACATTTTAAAATGTAACAATTGAGCTTTGCATAATTGGTACTTAGGATATGATTATCATGCATGCAATACAAAAGGACGCAAAAGTCATTGTTATCTTTTTCCCACGTGTTTGATTAATTTTGTTCGCACAAATATTACACCATTGTAACTTTACATTATGGTAGATTTTTTTAAAATGAAATTAAAGAGTAGTTTCTTTGGACATTACACAGTTTAATTTTTTTCTATTTTGGTTCTTGATTATTGTTTTAGTGACATTTTTGTTTTTATTTTTCATTTTTAATTTTTGACTATTGTGCGAGTGACACTTTTAGCTTAGTCATAAACTTTCAATCTTTACACATTTAGTTCACTGAATAGATCGAATTGACATTTTTAATCTTTCCACTATGAATTTGAAATGGTAAGTGAAAGATTAAAAATGTCAATATTCAATATTAAAGAATCAAAAGTCTCACTTTTATCAAAAAGTCAAAGGACTAAATATAAAATTTTTGAAAGTCAGGTACAAAAAGATTTTTCACATAATAGTTGAGGACTAACAATTAAAAAATTCAAAATCGAATATCATAAATGTCAGTGTCGATCATAATAGTCGGAAGACAAAAGGTGACAAAAACTTGGACTTCATATTTATCATAAAGAATTTTTTATTAAAGTGATTAAATTTTTTAGACGCAAGAAGTGGTGTGATATACTTCAAATATAGTGCCGGCCGGATGTGTTTGTAATTTGATATCCTACAAAAAAAAACAAACCTGATAATTATTTTGTAGCATACGAATAACCCGAGGACAATATATTAGACCCCAAATATTTTTATCTATATTTATTAATTAGCATGAATTATATATGCTATGCATTAATCAAGAGCACTAAATCAAAATCTTAGAAACAATGAAAATTGCTCTCCATAAAAGACATTTGTGTATAATATCCCGAAATTAAGAATGAAGTTTCAATACATTCATTAGAATAGTTAATGCAATTAATTAGTTAGTTAATATTGTGATGCATCCCACATCATTGCAAATACAAATGACCATCATTATTTACAATACACAATTGGTTTTTAATATTTAATGATGCTTAACATTCTCTCCATTCTAATAAAGTATGACCACCGTGACTTTGCTTGGGGAATTGAAAAATGATAAAATTAATAAAAAATTATTTTGAATATGAAAGTGATATATATGAAAATAATTTCTTTAAATATAATCTGTAAAACTTCTAAATCTCATCCAAGTATAAGCTAGTCAGCTAGTGTGTGTTAGAGAAACCTCATTAGTTTAGGATGATTTTAAAGTTTACAAAATTTGAACAATGATCCATGCAAATTGCCATCGTTATTTTATCATTTAATTTAAAACTGTAGGAATAGAAAAATCCATTGAAATAAATAGGCCCACTCTGTACTTTCATTCAAATCTTTTCATTCAAATTATAATCTCAATAAAAAATTAATGCATTATGAATCAAGGAAATTGCCAATTTTCAGTGAAATATTAATCTCATTCAAAACTTAATGCTTTATAAATCAAGGAAAACGAAATGA